TCTGATGGCTGCAGGATAGAAACCAGCTGAGTAACCAAGAGGCCAGGCTAAGTGGTCGTAGAGGATCTTATGAGGATAAACCACCTGATGGAAAAGATGAAGGACTGCTTCACCCCAAGGGCTGTCTTCCCTGGAGGCTGGCTTAGAGCCCATTTAKATGAGTGATTACAGATTGGCAGGCACCTTCTCACAGGTGAAGGTTCATGGTCAAATGGCACACACCTGATCCTAAGTACTTAGACCCAAGTTTTTTTCAGTTCTATAAGAATTATGAACAATGATAAATATTTCCTTTGACTATGGATAAGCTAGAGAGGATAACTGCCCAAGGCCCTCCTCCAGATCACAAAAGTCAGGCAAAAAAAGAAAACACACTAATCTGATAATTGTAGAAGAGAGGGAGTCAATGAGGTTAAATAGGGAATCAGCAGGAGATCTGGTCTCAGCACTGGGCCTCAGGGCCTGTGATTTCTATCTTTGCTCTCTACTCTGGCTCTCACCTAGACCCTACTGAGGATTTCTGCCTGTGTTGCTGAGGGAGTTTCATGGCTTTAAAAAAACTTTTTGATAATGCTGTAGAATATTACTTTCCCTCCTGCACAGGACAATAACAACTCAAAGTGCTAAAATGGATTGCCACTTGCCAAGGAGCAAACTTGAAAAATACAAACAAAAACAAAAAATATGTAAGTATATCAGCAGCTATTAGTAATATTTATAATGTACATCATATTTTAATTGCAGGAATATGAATGTTTCTATAGCCACCATCACTGTGTACCTACTTGGATATAGTCACTTGGGTTACTGTACAGCTGTGGGGTTTTTTATGGTGGTGATACACATGTAAAACACTGAATTTGCCAAGTTGACCATTTTTAAGTGTACAGTTACATGGCATTAAGTGCATTGACACTGTGCAGCTGCCACCACCGCCCATCCCAGAAAACCTTTTTCATTTTGCAAAACTGACCCTCTGAAACATGAAGGACAAATCCCCGTTCCCCCCCTCAGCCCCTGGCCACCGTCTTTCTACTATATGTCCAAATGAATTTGCCTCATGTAAGTAGAATTCCTCAGTACTTGTCCTTTTGTGACTTGTTTTCTTCAGCATAAGGAACAAACCTTGAAGAGATCATGCTAAGGGAAATAAGCCAGTCATGACTGTGATCTTAAGGCAGTAAAGGTAAGTATTAAAAATAGTCATAAACTTTGTAAATATCTAGCAAGAGAGTATGGAATGTGAATGACCCAGCCCAAAGACTTCCTTCTGCATGAAACACCCAAACACACAAGCAGCCTTCATGAACTAACCTAAAAAAGGAATCTTAGCATGGGCTTCTGGCACATAAAGCTCAGAATAGCTGAGCTTTACTTACCAAGTTTAACAGCACAAAATGTCACACTGAGAGTGTTGAAYGTGGGAGTTCATCGCCTGGGGGGGAAAACTCTCTCACCTAATTTAAGAAAACTCAAAATGAATCCATTCTTTCCTTAAGAATTCTACACTGCAACAGTCCCATCTGGTACTAGCTATATTTGCTTAGAGAGATCAGTAGCGCAAAATAAAGGTTATTTAGAGCACATAGTCATGGTTTCTGGATGGGTCTTCCAAATACTAGAGAATACAGCAGAAAGTGACCTCAAATTTGGACATAATCTTGGTAAGTAGAAGTTTAGGAACTTCGCCCTGGGGTCAGGAAGACATCCAGGTAGTGCTTGTGCACCACCCAAATCCCTGCCCACGCCCTGGGAAGTGGGCAGGGCCACAGGGGCAGCCTGCTCTGACTCACAGGGAATAAGGAGATTGGGACTGGGCTTCAAGAATGTGGTCAGGGCAAAGGTTTCTTGCCATCCCTGTCACTAGGGAGGAGTATGATGGGAAAGAGAACGGTGGCTGCCAACCTTCAYCCACAAACCTGGCACAGTTGTTCTGGCTCCTTCAGACCCCACTGCCTTCCACATTCCACCAGCTCTGCATCCCCCATGCTGTGACCTCAATCAAGTTGCACAATCTCTCTGTGCCTCAGTTTCCTCATTGCAGTTATAATGGAATCCACCCCACAGGACTTGCTTTGGGGGTTGAACACATTCATGTAGGTGAAGCCAGTCATGGCTGTGATTTTAAGGCAGCAAAGGTAAGTGTTAAAAATAGCCATAAGCTCTGTAAATATCTAGCAAGAGAGTATGGAATGTGAGTGACCCAGCCCAAAGACTTCCTTCTGCATGAAACACCCAAACACATAAGTAGCCTTCATGAGCCAACCTAAAAAGGGGACCTGAGGTCACAGGTCAGACTTGTGAATGCTGACAAACACGAGCTGCCCCTGAGGCAGGTGCTGACCTCTCTTTGAGTGATAACAAGCAAGGATTTCTAATTTGATGTAATTTAGACAGATAGTCACAGCAAACACCATAGGCCTTTAATCCAGTATGTACAGTGTCCTTTTTTTTTTTTTTTTTTTTGGTGCCAGGATTTGAACCCAGGGGTGCTGAGACTCTGAGCCACATCCCCAGCCCATTTATGTATTTTATTTAAAGACAGGATCTCACAGAGTTGCTTAGGACCTTGCTAAGCTGGCTTTGAACTCATGATCCTCAGCTCAGCCTCCTGAGCCGCTGGGTTTACAGGTGTGTACCACCGTGCCTGGCTGTCCAGTCTTTGTAAGACAAGAAACACAAGGACAGGCAACAGAGAGAGGGGCATGCCATGTGAAGATGACACAGGAAGGGAAGCATCCCATGCCACCCAAGGCACAGGTCTCTAGCTGCCAGAAGCAAACAGAAGCTGAGGGAGACTGCCTGGCCTGGGACCCCTGGATTTTAGAGTTCTGGCCCCAGAACTATGAGAAAATAATTCTGTTGTTTGAAGCCATGCTGTTACAGCAGCTCTTGAAACTAAAACTATGTGCCATGGTTTGGATGTGATTTAAATATGTCCCTTGAAGAAGATTCATGAGTTGGAGGTCTGGTCCTCATGTGGCAGTTAGAAGTGGTGAACTTTTCAGAGGAAAGCCTAGCGGCAGGTCCTAAGGTCAACTGGAGCCATGCCTGCAAGAGGGGTTGTGGGGCYCCAGGCTCCTGTCTCAAGAAGTCACTTACTCCCACCACATGGCAGCTCTCACACAGGCTTCTGCCATGCTGAGACCCTCTCCAGAGGCCCAACCAATGGAGTCTCCAACACTATGAGTTAAACAGACTTCTCCTCTTTATAAAGTTAGCTTAACTAAGGTAGGCTACCTAATGAAAAACAGACTAACACACAACGCCGTGTTAAATGTTCAAATTCTCTAGCGTAGACAGAGGATGTGTGATATGTTTTGGCTGAATTAATGAATGAATGAGTGAAAGTGAACACAGAAGAGTAAGAAATAGTTATGACTGAGTGAAGGGGCAAGTGTGGGTGTTATTTATACCCCTGGATGGGTGCTCCATGAGAACTTGGGATCCATCTTAGGGTCTGAATGGCTGGCCAAGACTAGACTTCTAGACACGCTATCTCATTCCTATGAGATACATCCCTGCGTGCCAAGGCTTCCAATTTCCTAAGAAGTCATAAATCTGGGTTTTTATGGAAAATCTCCTAAGTTTTTAAGTGTTGGCTTACAATCAAAATAAACCTACTATCAGAAGCTGCACCCTGGAAGGCCTATTGCGTCTCTAACATGTAGTGCAGCCCTGGGTAGGACTCATGGTGGCCAATGGATGCAAATCAGCAGCAGAGGGGAAAATGTATCCTCCCAGCTCTGGAGACGCTAGTGCACCTCCAGGCCACATGGACACCCTGTGCTGATGCATGGAGCCTGCCTCCCCTCTGACCTGACTGAAAAAGAGCCTTACAGCAGTTGAACCAACTAAGACAAGAGAAGTGAACTTTAAGAACCTGCAGGCACCAAGCAGGATAACAGGTCCCTAAATGGTGGGAAAGATTTAAAAGCTGGAAGTCAGGACATTGTAGCCCCACACAGAAGGAAAGTGAGCTCTCTAATCATCAATTCCAGTCCCCCACCCCGCACCCCTCACCAAGGGCTAAGATCTTGCTCTTCATTTCCATTCGCAGACAGATGGCCTGAATCACAAAAGGAACTGCTGAGAGCATCCATGCTGAGGGTCAGAGGCCACCTAGGTTCCAAAGTTACAGACCCCTGGCTTTTGAACAGGGTGTAGCTCTAGGGTCCACAACCTAAACGCCTGGGAATTTAAGAAATCTAAGTGCTTGGCCCCAGACTTAGACCCTCTGGGTGGGGGCCCCACAATCTCTGTCTTAACAACCCAGCGTTCAGATGTTCATGTTTGAGAACCTCTGCCCCAGGGGAACCAGGTCACACAGGTAAGTAGGGTATTCCTTTAAGGGAACCTAAATGCAGCCACCAATATCTGTACGTGTAAGAACTGACCTAGATGACACCTCACCCAGGCAGCAAGGGACTCAGCACTGAGAAACTAACCAGACAGGGTCCACTCCCCACATACTACCAGGGATCAGGGCTTACTTACTGGCTGGCAGTGCAGGATTCACCTGGGTGGACAAACTGCCAGATTCACAACTTATGAGGACAGTGTCTGAGAGGAGGGTAGGTGTGATGCTCCCTTGCAGAGGTCTGCCTGGGTTTCAGGCAGGACAGCCCCTGGCCGTGTCCAGCACCCGCAGCACTCRGGCCAAGATTGGCCACTGAAATCACACGGGAAAGGGTCCAGCTCAGTCAGTACTGACCAGAGGCGAACAAGGAGCACCAGAGTGGAGAGGCTGCCCTGTGCTGGGTGCTCTGAGTGGTTTCCAGGTGCCAGCAACCAAACCAACTCAGGAGCAGAGACAACCTCCCACCATCCAGCCCCCATCACCTACTGGGGCTGCAGTGCATGCAGGCAGATGCCACACAATTTTGTATTTTTTCTTTCCAGGAATGGCAACAAGATAGACTCTTGAAGGATCACAGCACTGTACCTGGGAGGAAGGACACACATCAACCCCTAGTGATTCCTCACCTAAACACCTTAATCTTGTCCCCACATGCCTCTGCTTCTTATCTCTGGAGGCCTGCATTCCTTGGCAAAAGTTCCGGATTCCTTTGTTCTCCTGAGGATAAGTTCCCTGTCCTCAAGCTGCTTGGCCTTGTAAAGAAGACAAACAAGTAAATAGGCAACAACAAAAAGTACCCTCAATAGGGCTGTGGTGTGTGGGTGGTGTAGGCTAGGCAGTCACAGAGGCGGGGAGGCATCCTGCCCAGGGGGTCATAGCCTTCATGGAGGAGGGCAAGCACCAGCCTCCACTAGTTGAAAAGTGAACTTCTGGCAGGGACTGGGCAGGGGGGCTTGTGTCTTTGTTACATAGCACAGACATGTTTATTGATGAGAGTGCATTAGATGATCACAGTCTAGGACACTAAMCCCGAGGTCAGCCAAAGTTCTATACTCACCAGACAATCTGTTCCTTTCCAGCAGCTCAGAAGGTTTGCTCTATGCACACTAGGGTGACTGGCTAGGACCAGAAGGAAAATGAGGTTATGTTCTGTAGCTTGTCCACAAACAAGGGAGACAGGAACTTAAGTAACCAGCCATGTGCTGAGAGGGATGTCACAGAGGGGAGCCAGCTGACCAACCAGATGACCCCTCACAGTGGACACTACCTTAGTCAATTCAATGGCTCACCACTCAGAAACACAAGGTTCTCAGTCCAGGAAGAATGGACCTTGCTTAAGAGGACTAATCCACACTCAGCAGACACCAACTTGGAAAAACCAGAGGGCTAGATGATTAATTTACCTTTCTGGCAGTTATTCACACCCGCTGTCCAGGGCATGTGCTGAAATGCACTGTTCATGCAAGCATTTGACAAGGATTTCATAAGTGTCCATTATTTAACCTGTGAGCATCTGATTAAGGAAATACAGCAGCCAAATGAGGCGGGGACAGAAAAGGGAGGTGGAATTGTGCAATGAGCTTGGCGTCAAACAAGCTGGAGTTCAAACACTGTGCACCATTTATTACATAGGCAACTAGGTAAAATTGCTTAACCTTCCTGAGTCTCTGTCCTCATCTGTAAAATATGGGCACAGCAACACYCTCTCACAGGTCCATTAATGAATTATGTGAGATTACGTATTTAAACTGCCTAGCTGTACTTATGCTTATATTTATCTGGAGAGGGTATGCCACCTAATGGTTAAGGGAAGAGGCTTTGGAATCAGGAAGATCTGGGTTTAATCCTAGCTCTGCCACTTACTAGGAATATGATCTTGGGCAAGTGGCTCAATTATTTCCAAGTCTCRGTTTGTTCATTTGTGAAATGGGAATATAAATTCTTGAGAGAAACCAAGAAGTAAACAAGATAATGTATTCAAAGGGCTTAGCAAATTTCCAGGGTATGATAAGCATTCAACAAATTATATGTAAGAGTAATTTTTAAAAGCTGTCCAAGACTTCACACATTATAAATTAGTACAAACTTCTGCAGATATGGTGGCACATGCCTGTAATTCCAATGACTCTGGGAAGGCTGAGGTCGGAGGATCAGAGATTCTGGGCCAGTGTCAGTAAATCAGGGAGGCATTGAACAATTTAGGGGGATCATATCTCAAAATAAAAAGGGGGGGCTGGGGATGTGGCTCAAGCGGTAGCATGCTCGCCTGGCATGCGTGTGGCCCGGGTTCGATTCTCAGCACCACATACAAAGATGTTGTGTCCGCCAATAACTAAAAAATAAATATTAAAATTCTCTCTCTCTCTTTCTCTCTCTCCCTCTCCCTCTCTCTTTTAAAAAAAATAAATTAAATAAAATAAAAAGGGCTGGGGATGTGGCTCAGTGATTAAGCACCTCTGGGTTCAATGCCCAGTACCAATACAAAACCAAATCCAAAACTTAATAAATTGAACGTATAAAAAGTTAATCACTTTGAATTGTAATTTAAAACCTTTTCTGAAACAAGCCTCTGCTCCAGACTACTTTCAACCCATATTTTCCAACAGTTTCTAAAATAATGTCATTCGTGTGCAGCCAAGCATAAACTCAAATCTGTCTCAATACTGCTAAGTCATGCTCCACAGTGTAACAGAAACAGAGAGTCCGGGCTCTACCTGTGAGTTTGTCTGAGGGGAGCCCTRGTACCCATAAAGCACTATGCATTCGATATAACGATTACAGACCAATGCGCAAAGCGTGATTGTAACAAAAGCCCCTGCAGGAAAGGACACAAATCACTTCTCAATCTTTGATTTATTCTGACACTGTCTATTTTTAAAACCGCTTATAAAGCTTTCAAATCATACAAGAATAATTTTGATAGAAATCAACAAATCTTTGAATTCTAACCTTTCTGCAAACTCGACTGGTCTAGAACAAAGGGCAGCTCTGACGTTCCACCCCTCTGGGAGACCACGCACCGCGCGGACCCCGAGGCCTCAGCGAGGGGTCGGCGGGAACCCCGTTCCCCCCGTGGGTTTTGCGAGGTTCAGGGTGGAAGAGGGTACGATTTCAAGTCTCGACCGAAACTTTCACCCAAAACCCAAGTTTCTGAAAGAATGTGAGGTTTTCTATGAGCTGCAACTTTAGAGGCTCTTTCCAAATAGAATCATTGTCAAATGCAGTATGGAATCTCATCGCCAGCACCTGCCCTGGCCACGGCTCCYAGCCAGGAACCCAGCCGATAAAGCAGGCTGGGCCGGGCTCTAGGAGGCCCGACGTGGCGGTCACCTGGGGCCAGTGGCGGCGAAGCACCTAGCGGGCTAGGCAGGGCGCAGACCCCCCGCTAAGTCGGCRTTTCCCCGGGGGAGAGCCGGAAGCCGCGAACGCGGGGAGTGCGGGGACACACCGAGTCCCGGCCGGGGCAGTAGGCGGCCGGCTCCCTCGTCCACGCCACCTGCGCCTGGGRCAGCCGCAGCACCAGGACAGCAGGGTCGAGGAGGGCAAGCGAGCCGGGGCGCCGGAGGCAGGGACAACCTATGTGCTCCGACGGGCGCCTGCCCGAGAAGAACACTGTCTCGGGGGCGGCTACCAGCTCGCCAGCCTCGCGCGGCCGAGGGTCATCGCGATGCCGCTGTGGAGCCCCGCCCGACAGGGGGAGGGGGCAACCGCCATCTTCCCGGAGCTCCTGAACCGACARCGCGCGGCCCCGTTCTCGCGAGACCGCGAAGACCTATGGGAAGGGCGGGGGAGGGGAGGGGAAGGAAGCCGGGCCCGGAGCCGGGGGCGGGCCGCGGCCGCGAGTGGAGCCCCAGGAAGCGGGGGGCGGGGAAAGATGCGATTGACGCGGCCTGTAGACCAATGACGAGCGAGCTCGGGCGGGCCTCCGGCCAATGGGCAGTGCAGCCCGCCGCGGGGGGCGGGCGCCGGGGCCGAGGGTAGCTTGAGCGCGGCGGCGGCGTTGTTCAGTCAGAGCGAGAACATTCCAGAGGTGAGTCTACGGGGGGCGGCGGCCCGCGCCCCTGCCCAGCGCTCCCGCCCTTCCACCCGCGGGCCGCCGGCGGGGCAGGCGCCGCCCGGCCGCCCGCGGCTCACGGCCGTGTCCCCGCCAGGTCGCCAGGCTCGGCGCTGCCGGTGTGGACGCGGACGTCGCTGGGACAGCCCTTCCCGCTGCTCGGCGGCGGCACCTGCCCGGCCGCCCTCCGCTCGCCCGCCCCGCCGCTCCGGACCCGGTTTCCAGCGCCTCTTCCTCCCAGTCCCGGGCGAGCCGCGTTGGGTTTATGTCTTTATTTGACGAAAACGGTGAGTCGCGGGCGGCGGGCCATGGCGGCGGCAAGATGGCGGCGCGGCCGCGTGACCCGCGCGCGTGTGGCGCAGTTTGGGGGGGCCGCTCGGGGGCGCGCGCGCCGGCGCGGTGAGTCAGCGCGCGCGGGCGGCGGGGCCGCGGCCGCCTCGTCCCCGCCGCCCGGAGGCCGCGCTGCGGGCGGCCCCGGCGATGCTGAACCGCGGGGCGTGTCGCCCCTCTTCTCTTGCAGAGCTGTTGCGCAGCCATTGGTACCTGTATTGGGGAAACATAGCGTACAAGCAAGGAGCTTACAGCCTCAGCGGCGAAAATTTTTTCATGTCAGAGACCGAGAACTCTTGCAGTCGTTTATGTCATCCCTTCTTCTCCAGACAGAAGATACCAAAAAGTTGCAATCAAAGATCTCTTCATCTTATTGATAAAGCCACTAATAAGCCAAAATGTCTGTCAAYGTCAACCGCAGCGTGTCAGACCAGTTCTATCGCTACAAGATGCCCCGTCTGATTGCCAAGGTAGTACCGGTCGCCATGGTGGCAGGGAGGCAGCTCTCCGTGGGGTTTCAGGGAAGACAGCCCAAAACTGAAATTCTTATTTCCTCTAGGTTGAGGGCAAAGGAAATGGAATCAAGACAGTTATAGTCAACATGGTTGACGTTGCAAAGGCGCTTAATCGGCCTCCAACGTGTAAGTAAAGCTTTCCCAGAAGCCTGTACACTAGGGGGTCTAGGACAGTCTTTGAATTGTAAAACTTCCTGAGTTATATGCTAATTAGGTTAAGGGTTATTTGTGGAGCCTCGGACTTTTAAGGGTTGCCATAAGTTCATTGCCTAGCCAACATTTCATGAACCCACATCATTTTAAAACAGTGGTGGTTCTTGAATAAAGGTGAATAAGCAGCTAGAGATTGGTTTATTTAGTTCCTTAGTATAATCAAGCCTTTCTTTTCTTAACATAGATCCCACCAAATATTTTGGTTGTGAGCTGGGAGCACAGACCCAGTTTGATGTTAAGAATGACCGTTACATTGTCAATGGATCTCATGAGGCGAATAAGCTGCAAGACATGTTGGATGGATTCATTAAAAAATTTGTTCTCTGTCCTGAGTGTGAGAATCCTGAAACGGAACTGCATGTCAATCCAAAGAAGCAAACAATAGGTAATTCTTGTAAAGCCTGTGGCTACCGAGGCATGCTTGACACACATCATAAACTCTGCACATTTATTCTCAAAAACCCACCTGGTAAGTCTTCATGATGAGCTTAAAGCAATGATCATTGGTAACAAAAGTGGAAAGTATTTGTTATAAAGCCAGAGTGTAAGGAGTTTTTAGTCTTTGGGTTGCATTTTATTGACTGGGAGACTTCCTTGGAAATTGTACTCTTGTTTTTATACTATTAAAGGTGAGAAGAATCTGACATCAGTTTTTAAGACACATTAGAATGGAAAACATAGTTCAAGTTGTAAAACAGTATGATGGGGTTGCATCATCTACTTTGGTACTGTTTGTAAATGGGGCTTCCTTTGTTGGGCTTAAATGACCTTAGAACTTTGCAAGCAACACTCTGTGGCAGATTATTGAAACTGTCTGACACAATTTGAGCTTGCTATAGCAAGAAAGTCTAACCTATTCCGGTGTTCTCTTTTCTGTGAGACAAGCCGTTATATGGGCTTAAACAGTRTTCTGAAAAGTGTTGTGTAAAAGCCAGATTGAGATAGGCCTTGTTCAAGTTTGTCAGGCCCAACATTTTATTTACTTATTGGTGCTGGGATTGAATTCAGGTGATGAGGGCTTGCTGAATTGCTGAGGCTGGCCTTGAATTTGTGATCCTGCTTTCCACATTGATTATAGGCATATATCATCATGCCGGGCAAAACTAAACTTTTATTTCCTTCATTTTTCCTTGCTGGAATTGCGTGTGTGTGCCATTGCACCTAGTAGGAGGTCCAACTTTTGACTAATCTGGTCATCGAGGCGTCAGACATCACTGTAATCTTGGTCTTACTGTAATACGCCAAATATTTTATGTATCTCCATTCATTGTGAGAGTTTGTTACCTATGAAATACAGTAGATGGAAAGCCCTTAAAAATTACAGTGGTGTCTTGTGATATTTTCTGAGATCAATAGGGGGGCATGATGTTTAAGTGTTCTGATGAGCAGTAAGGTGATATGAATTGTAGGAATGTACCTCCCCCCCCAAATACTGGGGATTAAACTTGGACACTTTACCACTGARCTACGCCCTCAGCCCTTTTTACTTTTTACTTACTATTTTTTTTAGAGGGTTAGTCTCCTGATTTGCTGAGATTATAGGCATGTATCACCATGCCTGGCAGAACTAAACTTTTATTTCCTTCATTTTTCCTTATAGAGAATAGTGACAGTGGTACAGGAAAGAAAGAAAAGGAAAAGAAAAATAGAAAGGGCAAAGACAAGGAAAATGGTTCTGTATCCAGCAGTGAGACACCACCACCACCACCACCAAATGAAATCAGTCCTCCTCCACATG